TTAATTAAATGTTTATGCCATGCATTTAAACTAAATCGACCGACCCACAAACGTATCTTTTTTTTGCTTTGTATCTGTATCTGTGTCTGTTTTGCATCTTTATGTGTAAGATTTAAGATTTGCGCTGTAAAAACTACTTGGGGAGTACTTGAATGGGTCGTTTTGTATATTCTACCATATGTGGGATCGACTGGGAGATCGGTTCGGATCGCAACGGATCGGTATGGATCGGTGCGCATATATAAAATATGACTGAATAATATAAAACAGAAGGCGATACATCAAAGCGGATTATACAATTTATTTTTGCTTTTATTTTTACCCGCAACGGTACGCTGTTGGGGATTCTTTTTATTTTCCATTTGTGTTCTTTGGCTTGGGGTTTGTTTGTCTGTTCTGAAAATATATTTCTTCATTTTTATTTTATTTATTTACTTTCTTCCAAAGATGTTGTATACAAAAGAAAAATATAAAATCTTCGCTCTAGAATGCGGAATGCCCGTCTCTATCTGGTGGATGCATCAGACGCAGCTGTGGGGGTAACTAATGCATCTGAAAATGTGTAAAGGCACATGCTGAGTCACCTAATAAATAGTATTATTTATATTATTTTATTCCATTCCATTCCAACCTCCTGCTGCAATCCGAGATCTTTCAGATACTTTCGCTGCCTCTGCCGCTGACGGCGTCGCTGTCGGCAGACGCGCATAACGGAAGCGTCAGAGGGCATTTCTTAAGTTAAGTCTGAGGTCTTGAGGTCTGTGTCTGAGAGTGACGAGTGTAATGACTTTTGTCGATTGGGTTAAGTGGCTTGTTGGCTTCCTTCGCTCCAGCACACTGGCGCAGGCACATCCAGAGCCACACGGATGCAGATACAAAGATACTCGCCATCAAATGCAGTGTTCGAGAGATGCGAGAGATTCCTTTTTTTTGAGTTGCATCTTTTTCAATTTTTATGCACGCCACACATTTAGCTCCCTGTCTCGTTTCCTCGCTCTTGTTTCTTCCCTTTATTTTTTTTTTTTTTAGCCTTTTGGTTGAAGTAGTTTGAATGTGGCACGTTTAGCTGTCTTCCTTCTGCCTGCCCCTGCCCATTGTCTCCTGTATTTTTTTTTTTCCTACCCTGCGCCATCGAGATGCGGTAATTTGTCTGCAGCGTTTTTTTTTTCGGTTGTTGCAGTTTTTTGTGGCTCTCGAGGTAAGCGACACACGCTAATCATGAGTGTGAGATTCTGAGAGATTCCCTTTCTCCTGACCCTCACCCACCCCCTTTTTTCGGCTGCGGTTTGCTGCCCTCATCCCAGAACTAATTGAGTGGGAAAGTGGCAAGGAAACCGAAATCGAAAGGGAATGCTTCCCGGAAGGGGAAAGTGTGCGGGATCTGGGATTGAATACAAATATTGATTGTCTCGATCAATCAGCAGCTACTGTTATTCTTAATTGATTCCCTCAGGCATCTTCAAATTGATTGAAAATATTATTCTTTATGGTAATTGAAATTATATGTGATGAAGTAATACAAATATTTTCTTTTTTAAAAATAGTATGGGATGTTTTTATTTTAAGATTTTTCAAGAGATACTTAATTTTTTGGAGATATAATAGTTTCATCCTCCTATTTTTATTATTTGTCTTGTGAAGTACAAAAATCTCATAATGAAACAAACTATAAGAAATTACGTCTCTTTTACATAAATTTTCAAAAGATCTTAAATTCATGGAAATATAAAATAGTTTACCTTCATAAACTCTAAATTATATTCTGAATATTCTGAATAATATTCTCATAATTGAAACCACATTTAATGAAGTCTGAGAATACTTTATTTCACATTTGTAGATCATCATAGGTTTTTTAAAGGATCTTAATTTTCAAGGGATCTTCTTCATAGACCTTTATAGTTTTTCCACAGATCCTTACTATCTTGGAAAGAAGACAGTTTTCATTCATTACTCCATTAATAATTTATTTTACAAAAAAGTAAAGTAGAGTATAAAGTAATAATACTCATATAATTTTAATAAAATTTGATGGTTTCGAACAAGATTCATATTTTCTTGGGATAGAAAATAGTTTGTTGCTCTATTACTCCCTTTCTCCAAATGTATCTGACGAAGTTATAACTTTCTCATAGCATTCTTTCTGGATCAAAAATTTTTTAATCATTTATTTCCCCCTCAGATGCGTTTTAATCGGCTCATTATTCTCAATAAAAACTTCCTCTGCACCCACGCTCTGCAAAAAGTTCACTGAACTGATCGAGGAACCAAAGAGTGGAAACCAATAATAATATACAACCTCTAATGATGCACACTCACACAGTAAAATAAAAAAAAAAAACCCCACATCTAAATGCGTTGGCAATAAAATATGAAAAAGCCAGAAAAAAAAATGCGTAAAGGAGAAAAAATGATTTTTAACAAAGGCAAACTCAGACAAATAAAAGTGCAATTAATCACCAGAAAGCGAGGCTCCAGACCAGAAACCAAGGGCCCGAACCGAGACCCCCGGTCCCAAAGACACTGACACTTATCGGCTTTATCTGCTTATGGGCCGGGGAAAAAATTTATATATATAAAGAATGGAAAATAAAATCAAGGAACCGACAACAACAATAAAGAAAGATGCATTCACACAAACATACAAAAAAATAAATGGGAAGAATTATAAATATTAAAGAAGCTGCACCGGATCATGCTTGGGGGGAGAATCGATTCCTGGTCCTGGCGGAGTGCCGGAGTGGGGATGCTGGGCTGTCAATATTTGATTTTTATATATGGATGGCATTTGCCTTGATGCCGTGATGCGATCGCCGCGAAGCAACGAAAAATGCATCAATTTTTAATAATAAATGAAATGTGTGAATAAACGTTGGTGGGGAAAGATATGGGATATGGTATATGGGGTATAGTTGGGGGAAGAACAATCGGAAAGGCAAACAGCAGGAAAGCATAAACACGACCGGCAACACTAATACCAAGGCAAACAAACAAAGATGCAGATACAGATGCCGGAGCGGCAGAGGCAAAGGCAGAGGCAGCGGCAGCGGCAGCGGATTCAAATGCAGATGCACACACGTTGGATATGCATTTTCCAAAGAATTTCTAAGCACATAAAAAGCAAAGCAAACGGTCAGTTGGGAAAATATTTAAAAAAGCATAAAAACAAAATATTTATTGAAAAGAGACGCTAACGAGCAAACGCCAAAGCAAGATGCCTCGCCGCGGTAAGGTGCTGGAAATATGAAATGAGGAAAACAAACGGCTTCAAAAATTGAACATATGAGCACGCTAATGCAGACGACCCCGATACCCCTCCCCAACTTCAGAAGGCTATAGCTATATAGCTATTTGATTAATGCACTCGAAAGCGACAATAAACACGGAACATCGCAAAGAATCAGGGAGAAACACACTCACACTCCGAAGACTGAGCTTTGGAGGCAGTCAGACCCAAGAAGATTTCTTTTGCATCCCAGACAAACAAATATATGCATTCCGATTGATGTCGGACCCGAGGATCGGGATATGGACGTGGACATGGTGAATGGAACTCCTCGAGGAGAAATCTCTGGGTCTTGAGTGAACGTCTGTGTCGACGTCTATTAGATAAATAAATACAAATTTTTATTAAAGTGCGAATTCTGCGGTGAGCACGGTGCTAATGCAAGCTCTCGAACCGGTCGCAAATTTCTTCACAGAAAGGAGCCATTACACTGACAAAAAAAATTAACTATATTTAAATAATAAGCTGCAGTAATCGGTAGAATTTGAGAAACTACTTTTTAAAATTTCAAAAACTGTTTTAGAAAACTTCATAGAAGTAATTCTAAGTATATTATTTGTCCAAGGATAGTATCTGATTTTGATTTTTAAGTTATATAGTTTTCTATATTTTAAGATTAATTATTTTCAATTAAATTTCATACCTTAAATAAAACTATTTATAGAAAAACGTTTATTTTCTATTAAAAGTAGAGTCAATATACTTTAAAGAAAATATTAAATGATAGGGGTTTTATCTTCGATATTAAAAACCTTATATTTTAGACTTGAATCTATTTAATGCTCGTCTTCTAAAACATACATACAAATATTTATTTAAAATGTTTTAAAAATATTTTAAAAGTTCAGAGTACGATAAAAAATGTATTTCTTAATTACCATATCCCGTTTATCTTAAAGATACATAAATATCTCAAGATCAGCACCATAACCACCGTGCAGATACCTTTGGCAGTTGCCCTAATTGAAGCGCACTTAGGGAACCACAACAAGCCACAAAATGCTCCATAGATCGAAATCCGACCGCAGGCCACAAGAATTTCAATCACTTCTCAGTCACCAAACAGTTCCAGTGACTGCTCCCCAAGTATCGGAATTGGAATCGGAACCGGGAAAAGGGAAAAGGGGGGCCACTGACCACTTGAATCAAAAATGTGGAGCAGATCTCCGCGAGGGGGCAGGCAACCCTAAAAGACAGAGAAAGAGATAGGAAGAGAGAGCACTGCTGTGGAGCGAACAATACGCGACGTGGAGCACGTGAACGCTGTCAATCACTTCTGGATGAGGATACCCAGAGGAGGGGGTGTGTGTGGTGCGGTATTGGAGCTCCGCATTCCGCGGGGTCCAATGCTGTCGCTGTGTGTGACGTCACAGCACGAGGCGAAATGCCGCCGGCAGAATTTGTAGCCGAAGATTGCTGAAAGGAAAGATCGCGCGAATCGTGAATCAAAACAAACCGAGGGAAACGATCGGAGAGCCCCCGAAAGAGAGTACTATTGGGGCCTGGGGGCAGCACAGTTGCGGCGCAGTCGCAGCGCAGCAGCTGCAGAAGAGTATGGATGATCGATCGTAATTCGCCGCACCGATCTCTTTCAATTTTGGTTTGAAATTTAAGAGAGAGCAATGACTACAAAAAATATCCTTGTTTTGGGAGGATAATTACAATTTTAAATAAACTTACACTTAGGAAAAAAATAATATAATATTGGACTCACCCTTTCTTCCTCTCGAATCATTTCGGCGATTCCCGGCTTGATCTCCAAGTCATCGGCCAGCGAGGATCCTCCTCCGGATCCTGATCCTCCGCCTCCTACGCCGCCCCCTCCTCCACCGCCAGCGCCATGATGGTGCGACGGTGGAGGCGGTAGGCGTGGCTCGGCGGGAGGTCCGGGTCCCAGGCCGCTGAGCTCCATGGCAGCGGCCATGGCGGCGGCAGGTCCGAGGGGAAACCGCGAGTCAGCAGCGGGCGATGGCGGATGGTGGGCGGTAGCTGCCGCCTGGGCGGGGTGGGGGGCAGGTGGTGCATGATGGTGTGGGTGGAGGGGTAGCGGCAGCGGATGCTGACCGGCACCCGGTTGCTGCTGGGGACTCTGCGAGTGAGTGCGCGAGGATCGAGACAGAGGTCCCGGAGTGGCTGAGGGGGAGGGCATCTCCAGGCCATGGATGGCGGTTTCGAGGCGCCTGGCTGCTCCTGCAGCTCCCACTCCCACCCCACCACTGCTCATCGGCGGCTTGGGTGGCGGCGTCATCAGGGAGCAGTCCCGCTGCCTTTCGCGCTCCTTCTGCTCGAGCTCCAGTCTCTCGGCGGCGATCAAGCTGCTCAGTGGACTGGGTGGGGCGGGGGGATTGAAGATCGTATCCGCCGAGGGCCACCGCCTCTTCCTCACGTTCCTGCCCTGCTGGCGCTCCAGCGGCGACAGTCTCAGCTCAGCGGGATCCCAGTCGGTGCGCAACTTCTTCTCTGGCTGCATAAAGGCCAGCAGCTCCTCGGCCTCCCGCTCCGTTTCAGTCCTGGATGAGGAGGTTCCCTCCTTCGGGGATGGAATCCGCCCCTCGGAGGCGGCGGCGGCAGCTGCTGTGGCAGCCTCCATGTTGGTGACATCCGCCAGGCCGCGCACTTTCAGCATCTCCGCGATCCGCAGCAGAGGGCCTATCTGATCCTGGCTGACGTTAATCTCGCCGCGGTACATAAACTCCACAATGGCCTTGAGATCCGACCAGTTCACGTCCCGCATGATCACGATGGGATGCTGGCAGGGGGTCTCGGCCAGGAGGGTCTGGAAGTATGGCGAGCAAGCTGACAGGACCATCTTGTGAGCCTTCATGGAACGGCCGTCGCAGGCCAGGGTCACGTCCACGAAACACTCGTTCTGGAGCAGCTGATCGAAGATGGTGGTCAGGTTGGTCTGGTAGTTGTTCCATCGCAGGCAGAACTGCTGCGATGTGGAGCTGGGCGACGCCACCGAGGAGCTCCTGCCCTGCGGCGAACTGACGGGCGAGGATCCTCCAGCACCGCTTGCCCCCGGGTTGTCTTTGTCCTCGTCCTTGACTCCACCACCGGAACCGGGCCCAGCCGGCGAGTGGCGATCTTCGCTCTTCGCCTTGGTCTCCTCCTGACTGGGAGAGCTCCGGTTACTCTTTGGTGATCCTGCTCCCGATCCCGTGCCGCCTTTGCGCTGCCTCTGCGTCACATGGGCCTGCTCGGCCGGCATGCCCGCTTCCGTTTCCGATTGCGCCGTCGCCATTTTGTTTGATCGACACCAAAAGTTATCGATCGTTAATCGCTAATCGACACGATACGTATTACGCGCCTCGTAGTTACATAGCGCCAGGAATCCAAAAAAAAAACGCGACAATTACAATTACGGCGACCAACTGAGAGTGGGCATGTACATGTGAGTGTGTGTGTGTGTGTGTATAGGAGTTTGGCAAGTGTGTGTAAATTACGTATACGTTACGTTACGCGCACTACGTGGCCATTTGGCAATTAGCCCGCCACGTACCGTACCGTTCAGTGCAGTTATGGGTTTCAGTTTCGTTTCAGTTCGTTGTGGATGGATGGGATGGCTTCGGTCTGGGTCGTGTTTTTCGGTTCCGTACTTCTGTACTGTACTGTGTTCCGTGTATTCTGTGTATTTGGTTATAAATGGCCAACAAACAGGGCCAAAAGTCTTCTCAGCACGAGCGTCTGAATTAGACTGAAATCGTTTTGCACATTTTGATACGGAAAAACTCAAAATAAACTTAACACACGACGACGACGACGATGGCCACGACGATGGCGTTGGGCGGAAAACTGAGGTCGGTTCATGTTGCTCCCGTGATGTTGCCAGTGACTGCTATGCTGTGTGCTTGGGCTTCGCTATGGCTTTGGTGTTGTATTGTAGTTGTTGTAGTTGTTGCTCTCCTCAGGCTGCGACTGAGTTCGCGACGAAGTTGCGAATAGTTCGCGAACTGTTGCGATTGCGATTGCGACGGTGACGGTGACGGCGATGCGAGTTTCTCCGCTGCCGGCGTCGCTGCATTTCGAAGGCTGACAGCAGAAGCAGAAGCAAAATCAGAAGCAGAAACAGCAGCGAAGGAAAACCTGCGGCACCGACACCGACACCGGCACCAGCAGAGAAAGAGACAGCGACCGAGACCGAGACCGAGACCGAGGCAGAGGCAGAGCCAGCGACCGAGGCAGAGAGTAGGCGCCAAAAAACGCCGGCTAACGGTACCACACATTCCTTTACTCGGCTACCACCCACCGCCGCTCTTCCCGTTTGCCCGAAATCGGCATCTGACTCGTACTCGTTCTCGTTCTCGGCCTCTTTGCTCGTTGCAACCCCCAAACATTTTTGGCGCTGCACCAATACAATGATACCCGTGGATGCGTGGCGTTGCGTTGCGTCGCTGTGCGTCGCTGCAAGTTGCAAGTTGGGTGCCACGATGTGCCCATGTGCCTCAATATCCCTCATACGCCCCATGTGCGTCGCCGTTTTCGATGGCGCGATAGTGTGCGTGTGAGGAAACGGAAGTTTGGCCGAAAATGCAGAAGCGCCGACTGCGCCTCTGACAGCCGGCAAGTGCGGCGAAGAGCGAGTTTAGGCCTAATATTTTTGAAGTTTTTGGCCGAGCGTGGAGTGGGTTTGCAAGGAGGCGGTACCTCCAACCCATCGACTCTTGTAGGGAGGCCGAAAGAAATGGCTGAAGCGGCGAAAATAATATTGGGCCTAGAACTGTTAACAATTTTTGTTGAGAAATTATGGTTTTTTAAGAGATTTTTTAAAAGTTTTCTTAAATTATTAGATGGTATTTTTAAGGATTAAATTTGAATTAAATTTTAAATAATTTATAAATCTATAAAAACTTTAGGTTTTTATTTAAAGATTAAAAAAACATAAGAAAGAACTACTTGGTTTAATTTTTTAATAAATACTCTTGCCTGAATTGTAAGTTATTTTTTTAAGATTTTAAATTTATTTAGACAAACTTTAATTAAATAAAAAGTGATCCTCTCAAGGCCAGTTAGTCCTTGAATTCTTCCATCTCTGACTAATTCTTCCCTGCACTTTCTTCCATATCTTTCTTCTGATTGTAATTCCACATCTAGGGAATAAAACTCGGCAGAAAGATGCTTCATTAATTAGTTCCGTTTTCGGGGCAGCCCTGCATCGGGCCCCCCATCACTTCCTCTTGCCCACTCCCCACGTATCTAAGGCCGAACAAGCCCCCCACCCCCCAGCCAATAAGTAACTCTCTTCGTTTTGGCGCTCTCGGTGGCAGAGCCGCTGACTGAGCCGCCGGCGTCGCTGCCAATCGTGCATTGTAAACAAATGCTTAGGCGAACAAGAAGTACGGCAATTTCGTTCCCCACCCAATTCGCCGCAGTCTTTTGGGGGCGCGCTCTCTCTCGTTCCCACTTGCTGGCCGTCTCTCTTTGGCATTTAAGAGACGTTTCTCTTGCTCTTGCCTTTTGGGGATTGCTTTGGATTTGCTTTGCTGCTTGCTGCACCTGCACTTTTGGCCAGCGACTATTTTGCCTCTTTTTTTCTCCCGTTTTTTTGCCAGGTGGGGTGAGGGGGCGGTGACTATATTGCCCGAGACTGGTCAGCCTCGCTTTCGTATCTGTGAGATGCAAAATCATTTGCACCTGTATCTGTAAGTGTGTGTGTGTGTGCACCTTGCTTGCACTTGTGTTTCGTGATTATTTGTTGTTGTTTTTGGTTGCGCATTTATAATATGCAGTATAAAATAAAAAAGAAACAAATCTAGCGAAAATATTATTTTGCAAGCGTGCGAGCGAGACAAAGGTAGCGCCAAGGTGAGCGAGCGAGAGGGAAAGCGGCTCCAGCCAGTCATAAATTATGCATAATTTTTTCGTGACTGGCAAATGGCGGCTGTTCAAGTTGGTTACATTATTATAAACATCGGCCATGAAACCAGTCAACAAAACCAAAAAAAAAAAAAGGGGACGTGAGTAGTGCAAACAAAAAAAAATATGATCGCATATATTCGCCAACGGCGACACTCGATCAGTATTCAGTATTCATTATGGCAGCTGCGAATGAGTGATTTTTAATTGCTTTTATTCGCTCATTTCCGGTATATTATTGCCTCTAAGTGATACCTTTTGCTTATTAATAGCTCTCCAAATATCCTTTATACTTGTGACTTGAGATAATTTTCAATTTCAGTTGATGAGATGAGTCAGTTTTTTTTTATTTTAAGCTGAATACAAAGTAACCATTATATTATGAGGGTTTTAATGGAATTTCGAAAGAAAATCATTAATATAATGAACCAGCTAGCTTATATCTCCTTTTAAAAACATAATATCTTTCTATCTTCTGAATCTATAAATCTTTATAAGTATCTCTCGCCCCTCTCTATCTCTCTCTTGGCCATCTCTCATGCTGTGGCAGTGTGTTCTGGCATCTGGCAACAAATGAAATGCAGCAAACAAAATTGGGATCAAACACAGAAACACGAAAACGCATCATGCATTCTCTAAGTTGTTTGTTGTTGGTCGCTCGCTGATATCTCTGCCTGCCTGCCTGCCTGCCTGGATGAGGAAATGGGAAAAGCTCTGGCAATGGGAAATGGGGAAAATGGGAAATGGCTGCTAGGCTCGCGACTGCAGAACGCGTTTATACGAAAATTTATGTATTTAACTGGTGACGACGACGCTGACGAGCAAAACGATGACGCGGACGTGAAAGGACACTGGAGATGGACGCTGGACACAGGATTCAGACGAGAAGTTGCACGGGGCATGAGCATGAGGATGCGGCCGTGGATGCGAACGCACGATGTCCAAAAAAGCGACGAAAGCGGCCTCTACGACTAGGCTGGGGGGCACGGTGGGTGGGTGGGTGTGTGTTTGGCGAAAATGTGGGTGTGTGCGGTTGTATAGTTTGTGTGTATGGGTGAGTGAGTGAGTGAGTGTGCCTGTATGGGTGTGCGGGAAAGATGACAACATTTGAGCCAAACAGACAAAGTTGCGGACGGGGTGAGAGGTCGTCGTCTGACCCACACACATGAATGAACGAACAAGCAAACAAACAAATAAAACGGTTGCCATGTACAACTTCACTGTACAAAAATCTGTGGAAATCTTTAGGAAAATTCCATCATAAAAACTAGATAAATTTTCCATCAAATAATCTAACTGTTATTTCTATTGGGATATCTAGCAACCTAAAGCAAGCTCCTTAGACTCTTTAATTGCTAATTAATTGCTTTATTTATTAAAAAAATAAAAAATGTAAAAAAATATAATAATTATTACAAAAAATTATATTTTTTCAAAATATAATTTTTATTCCCGTGTCCGTGAAGGTGACCAAATGTACACAAGGGCCCCGCAAAGGCAAAGGGTCGAGATATTGGTGGCAGGGATAAAGGGAGTCTGAGGCAGGGTGGCGTATAGCCAGCGGGGAGATCAGCGGGAAAAAAATGTTGCATATTAAAACGCCAAATAGAGGAGTGCAACAGCAACAGAAACAGCGACAACGGCGACGTTGCAGCTTAGAGAATGCAGAAAATGGGCGTGGGGCATGGCAGAAGGGTTAGCCCTTTGCTGCTTTTTCTTCATCCTCAGCTGCTGCCGCCTGGTGCTGCTCCTGCTGCCTGCTGTTGTTGTTCCTACCTTCGACCATGTCTAAAAGTTGGCTTACACACAAAAGCGATGAGCGATGATGCCTCAAATATGCAAAAATGCCTAGCGCAATAAAACCCCCTTGAGGGCGCATGGGGCATGTGGCGCGAGTTGGGGTCTGAAAGGGCGACAGGCAATGAAAAAGGGCTTACCAAGGGGCGAGTGAAAAGTATAGAAGTCCTAAGCCAGGGGGTTTGGGGCAAGGTGGACGTGGAAGTCCGAGCTGACCATCGGGGTTGCAGTTGCCTCAAATCCACAGCGAACTTCGCAGGCGAAATGCAGGCGAACTCGGCAACTCCAGAGTCCAGAGTTTAGAGTCCAGAGTACGGAGTCGCGTTGCGTTGCTAACGATGCCGCTGGCTGTCTGATTGGGAAACGAATCGGTGGGGTATAGAATGTCCTGTAGCGGCGAGGGATATGTGTTGGCGCATGTGGGTGGAGATTTTGGGGGGTGTGGGTGTTAGGGGTGGAGGCCGCGCCGATTGAGCGGTTGGGGATCAGGTAGAGGGGTGCATGCCACAGACACAAACAGATAGACAGCAGGCTGAGGACGAGGACGAGAATGAGAATGAGACGGAGGACGAGTCCTAGACTAGATTTAGAAACAGAAACACTAAGAGAAATATTTATTATTAAGAGGGGCATGAAAATAGAAATATATTTTACCAAAAGTTTGGGCTGGAATTTAAGAATGATATGCCACATTTTGTGGCACAAACCGTGCATCAATTTCTTACAGTGCACTCCCCCATTG